CGTGAGAGGAGGGGCGGTGCCGGCAGGGAATAGCGGGTACGGTAGCGGACGGTGCGGGGAGAGGGGCCGGTGGAGGTGGCTCTCCGCTGGGGCAGTCCGCCCTCAGGGCGGAGCCGCAGGGCGGGGGCCGGGCCCCGGTTGGGGTAGCCGCGCTCGGGCGGCAGAGCAGCGGCTGTGGGAGCTGGGCGGCGGCATGGTGAGAGCAGGAGGGCCCGCTTTAAACACCATTTGCTGAGCCGTCTAAGGCATCTGCAGCTTGCTCGTGGCTGGCAGCACCTTCCCAGCACGCATTTATCTCACACCCCTCCCCAAAAAACCCCAAACAGTATTTGTCTTGGCAGGGGCGCTGTGTCCCTTTGCCACGTTTGGCTGTGATAAGACCCAGACGCAATGCAAGCAAATTAGAAGGCGTTAGCATTCACGGGTTCGGAGTATAAACCAAGGGCTGCACCAATTTTCACAAGTATTTTTGAAGGTTTATTCTGGTCCAAAGGAAGCTTTCTCTTCCAGTGGAGAATCGTGAAACTTCGACAGTGTGCCCGGAACGGAGCATTTTATTATTGCTGCAACTGAAAGTTACAGCCTGTACAAGCTTTCATGTTCTCTGGTGAGATTCAGGTTTTTCTCTGCACAGTTGATCACTTAAGTTGTGCAGACACCGGCAGAAGTATGCTGGTGATTGAGACACAAATAAACAAACCTTGAACAAATAATGGCAAAAAATTGCAGGTTTCTCATTGGTTTTGTTAGTAGGACTGGATGCACATACCTATTTATCTGAGTGTAAGCCAGCACACTGTTTAAGGGTAACCTGATGTAATTTTTAATGTCATAATGTGATGGAGATGTATTTCTAAAGAATATAGGAAATGCTGAAATAAATTGGCCCACAAATTAAAAAAAAAAAAAACACAAAACCAAAACAAAACCCAACCCCAATGTTTATTCCCTAAACGTTGAGGTATTATTATTTTTATGAGTACTTAAAAATACCAAAATATCATGTTTCAGTAAAAGAGAATATGTTACCTCCTTTAGACATCTGAACCTTAATCATTTATGATAATATTTCTAAAGCAGTGATATAAGTGTTGTCTGCATCACTAGTCTGGTGTTTGTAGGGATGTCCTCATCTGCTGGAGGGCAGACAGAACTAAAATCTTGGCAATGTATTATCTTCACCTTTTGAAGGAACGCTGTACTTGATATATTTGATGTTTTTCAATAGCTTGCTTATCTCCTATAGCTATCTGGGTACTTACACTGCTGAAGTATTCTGCCATACAAATGTGATTTCATCACTGAAATATTATTTGTGCCACTTCATTTGTACAAGGCCAGATAATTACTTAGAGAAACTGTCAAGCAATTCATACTGTAAAGGTGACCTTTTTCTCTTGTCCATATAAAGGTTATGGATGTGAGAATTGCAATTACTTTTTAGATGATATGGAGAAGCTTTATTCTGTGGAATATGTTCAGAGAGCAGTCACTCTCTAGTTGAAATGATGATTTCTCTATTACCAGATTACTAATGTTTATGCTAATATGCTACTAACACTGCTCTGGAGAGCCACCTTTCCCAGCATGCAAGTTACTAGCTGACAAAGAATACATAATTTATTATGCCACCTGTCTGTTGGAGATTTATCAAACTACCTGAGAATTAATTGATATTTATGATGATTGTGTGATTTTTCACGAGGTACCAAATTAGGGTTCATCCAGCATGCAAGTTTGCCTCATTAATTTCTCTAAGGTTTCTCATGTAAGGAAAAGTTAAAAGTTCCAAACCATTACATTTCTTTTTTACGGCATTCTTTTCTTTATATAATGAAGACGCTTTGCCATAGCATCCTCTCCATATATATTGTCAGGCTCAGTTCTCCAGTACTGCAGCACAACTTTTGCCATTACACTGTAGATGTATTTACAATATCACAATTTTTTTTTTACAATTACAATCTAATTTTTGTTGTTAAATTAGAAGTTTTTAATTCTTATTTTTTAGATGTTTATGGGGTCATCCATATTTAAATTCTATTTTCCTTCTCTTTTTCTTTTTTTTCAGTCTTACTCCATGGGTACCAGTTGTGGGCCTAGAAATTCATGCACAGATCAGTTCCAACTCTAAACTTTTCTCTGGTTCCCAAGTCCAGTTTGCAGCACCTCCTAACTCTTTGGTATCTTTCTTTGATGCTTCTTTACCAGGAACTTTACCAGTAAGTTATGCTTTGACTTAATTTATATCAGGATTAATGTCAGACAATTTTGACTATGTTTCTAATATTTTGTTCTTCCCTAGATTTGACTACAGAACTACTTTTACAGTAGTGTTATAGTTTTGTATTTTCTGGTTGTTTGACAGCATGAGATGCTTAGTACTGTTTCTTTTCGGTTTACTCACTCCCTGACTATCACTACAGATACTTGATATCCTCTGCAAAGGGAAAAAAATAAGGAGTGTCACTTCAGCATACTGAAGGAATCGCGATACTTCTTTGAGGCCAGAGAAGGGTGTATTTGGTTAGTATGCCACACAGGAAATTCCTTAAATATGAGAGATAAATAAATCCTATGAGAGAAGAACATCTTAGATTTCTGAGTGGCCATTTGATGTTACATTGCCATATGTTTGTTTATGTATCTGTCCTTTGCCATTTGGAATATCTCACTGTAGAGGTACTTTGCTGCTTAAGTAGAAAGTCTCTGATTTAGGGAAGTGTTAACCGTTCCTATTTCCAGAGCAAAACAATTTTAATTTTTTAAAAATGTGATCTTTGTGAGACATTGTGAACTAATAAGTTAGAATAGCTAGCTAACACTTAGCAATGAGATTTACTAGTGTCAACGTAATAAATTTTTGAAGTCACAGCTTAGTTATAACTTTGTGATGGCTATGACAGTAGAATTCTCTTGGAATCTAACAAGTTTAATATAAAAATAATAGTTTTTAAAGTATAACGTGTTTACTAAACAGTGAATAGAAATATTGAATGACTTAACATTGCCTCATGTGACAAGCATGCAGAGACTATAATGGTGGTGTGGTTTAACCCCAGCCAGCAATTAAGCACCACAGAGCCGCTTGCTTACTCCCCTTCAGTGGGATGGGGGAGAAAATCGGAGGTGAAAAAACAAGTAAAACTCATGGGTTGAGATAAAGAGTGTTTAATAACAGAGAAGAGGAAGGGAAAATAATAATAATAGAGTATACAAAACAAATGATGCACAATACAATTGCTCACCACCTGCTGACCAGTACCCAGCCAGTCCCCAAACCATGGTGTCCCCTGGCCAACTCACCCCAGTTTATATACTGGGCATGATGTCATATGGTATGAAAGGGCATAATGCGAAGCTGAAAAGTCTTTGACTTAGTATAACACTCCTTAGCAACAACTAAAACAGCAAATCCAAATCCAGAACAGCACTATATCAGCTGCTAGGAAGAAAATTAACTTTATTCCAGCTGAAACCAGGACAAATAGAGTCAAAGTGTTTAATGCAAAATTGTTTTCACTGGAGGTTTGAATTCCAGTTGCAGATACTTTTTTTTAGTCTATTAGAAGCATTTCATCACCATAATACAGCCTTAAATAATATTCTGAAATTGAGAATTAACTTATAGCTGGACTTCTAGGGTCTCGATATATGCCGTGTGATCCTTAAAACGTTAAATGAGTTGATATATTCATTCTGTATTTGTGAATGTATTGAAACCTAAGGAAGTGAAGTTTAGATGCTGATAAAATTTGGACTTCACTCTGATCTCAGTGACAATTCAAGGCTGACTTTCAGATCTAACTATATGGATATTTTGCAAACTTTCCAGAGAGACTGGGAATCTTATGCAATTGTTTGGTTTTAAAAGAATCTGGTTAGACTTAAACATGGAAAATTAGTTCCTTTCATCTGGGGACAGGGCTAGGTTAGAGAGTTAATAGTCACAAATTGTAAAAGGGTTCAAGATTTTGGTTTTAGACCTTTTACTTAATGTTCTGTTAATGCACAGAAATCCTTGTTAATTGTCTAGTGCTTATCTTCAGTCAAGTATAAAACTGTTCTTGAATGAACAAACCCGAGTATTTATGAAGAGTTTCATTTTTATGTGTGTTACTGGAAGGGCTTTTTTTGCTTTTTCCTCTGTTAAAGTGATTTACAAATGAGGCTTGGTATGACCTTTGTAAGGAAAATTCAATACATGTGGGCTTTGGCAGAGAATTTAACTGCACCTGAGAAGCAAAAACCAGAATGGTTAGGTTACTTTAAAAGCAGTGATACTATCTTAGCTTCTACCAGCTACTTTTATCTATACAAAGAGAAGAAAAATTTTTCTCACTGTAGTACTGGTGAAAATAGAGTTGCAAGTGAATGTTACAAAATACATGTTCTTGCATGTCAGAATGTGATACAAAATCCAGTCAGTAGTTACAGCTTTATTTTCCTGTTATACTTGCTGCAAAGGAATTAGAGATTGATGTTTGTTCTGGAATCAAACAGTTGGACTTACTTTCTTGAAATAACTGTATGTGTTTGTATATGGGATAGTATCTGAAATAGAATTGGATTTTGAAAGATGGAGGGTAGTTCTTGAAAATTTCCAAGTATTTGTAAAAAAACCCAAAACAACAAATGTTAAGATAATTGCCTAATAAATTTCTTTAGAAGGTAAATATTTAGCCTTTACTTTGACTCTGTTTAGTTGAGAAACAAAAAAAAATAGCAGAGTTTTAGTACAGTAGCTGTGCTGTCTGTAGCAGAGAATAACTGCTGTTATTAACTGAGAACTATAGGGGCAGTTTTCAGTGTCACAGGGATTTAAATTTACTGTGGGACCATGAGATGGTTGTGGTAGACAACCATGCTAGCGTTTTTTGCTTGACAACAGGACCGGAAAGAATGGTACTAAAGGGAGCTTTTCTGTTGGCTATACATTTCTGGGTCACTGATGAATGTGGATGTGAGCCTTTGCTGTCCTCTGCACAGGAGAAGGGAAGCTAGAACAATGTGCTTAGTCCTCCTTCATCTTTCCACTATTTTCTTCCTGTACTGTAATACAGCTTATTTTATGCTTCTGCTGCAAGTAGGCCTTAGGAGGGCAATCACAGTGTTACTGTCAAGGCCATGTCACTACGCTGCTCTCATAACATGCCTCTGAGAGACAGCTACAGCCAAGAACAGCTATGCAGGTGTGCTCTTGTTTGGCGTGAAACAGAAAAAATGATATGGCAAAGCTTTGATTAAAGAAGTAGAAGTACTGAGACTAGGTGGCATACCCTTCTTGTACACTGTGGTGATGGAGTCCCTCACTACTAGACCAGATAGCATCTTACTCAAATTACTGTAAGAATCTCCTTTCTTTGGGACTACATGTGATTACATACATTACATTTCATGTAAGGAAATGTGCAAAGGCCTGTTTTTTTACCTCATGAATGGACTTGGCAATGATCTTAGCTTGTTGTCTTTAGAAGACCTGTTATAAGTTTTAGGCTACACATGGTGGCCTACTGTAGTGTGTCATCCCTGCAGGTTGATCTGAAATTCTTCTGTGGATCCATAAAGGCAGTTGCCCTCCCAGTCTGATTTATCCTATTTGAAAATTCTGAGGTTTATAAAGACTGGGCTCACAGAAAGAGAATCCGTGATTATCTGTTCTCATGATTGAGGTGGCTGACTAAAGGTTAATTATAGCTCAGCCACAGAAATGAGATGGTAGATCTAGTAGCTAAAGGCTGAAACCCTTTCGTCTATGCTTACAGTCTTTGTTGTTAATCACATGAAAAGATGCACATTTTACGTTTGTCTCCTGCATGACTAAAGTGAAAGCCTGATCTTCTTTCTTTGCAGGCAAGAAATAATCTAGGATTTACATAACCGAGGTTTAAATTAATAAGATTTGGATGAATGTTAGCCCTAGAGTCTTAAGTATTTTGAAATTTTTGACACCTTCTCATGCATTTGAATTTCATTCTCTTCAGAGTGTGAATAGCATCTGTTTTATCTTTTTTTAAGATAAGAGTTTTCAGAAACACTTGGTAATGATCAGTCTCTCTTTCTAATGAAGAAAAGGTAAATACCTTCTGACCTCAAGAAACAGAGTAAGATCTGTCTTGAACAGTGCTGTAGAATATCATGAGAGATACGTAATTTCATCTGAATATACAATTTTTTCCTGTTCAACTGGACATCCTTTAGGACTTGACAACTCACTCACTGCTGTTATCCTGCACCTAGATTTTCATATCCTCCTGTAGTAAACTCCTTTAGTTTTCCCTCTGTAACTAGTGATAGAAGGAAGCATTTGGGTCCTACTGTGTCTTCTCTTACCTGTATAATGACAGTCGGGCAACCAGATGCACCTTTTCATGGAAGAAAGCAGGGCTAGAACAACTATTAGCCCTTGTTCCTTCTGGTATTGCACCACTGGCGGCTTAAACTACAAACTCTAAATTCTCCAAAGCTGAGGAATGTCACTGCAACACTGTACAGTAGCAGAGAGCACATGTATCATGCTGTTGCCTTTCCCACCCTGCAGTGCTGCGCTGTTGAGAAGGCTGCCCAGGGATGTGACAGGGTTAAATTTGGGGATGTAGAGGGTGCTTTAGTTTCCCTTCCTATATTGACACTGTAAGCATCCTTGGCAGTGGCAGATGCCCAGTTTTTTTTTCCAGATGTCTTGGGTGATAGATTATCAGACTTTATGATTAATTTTAAAGGTTGTTCATATACAGAATTTACCCGATGCATTTGCTTCCAAAGGCACTGAGAAGTTTGTGTGAGATTTTGGTGGATCTGTCTGTCAGCTGTACATATTGGAACAGAAACAGCATTTGAGACCAGAATTTATACTTTACACCTTGAAACTAGATTTTTTTTTTTGATATCCTGTGCCTGTTAAATCTGGTGATTGCAACAGCTGCTTTACCAACTTGTGATTTCAGTTTTGTTTTGACATTCCTGCTGGCATGCATATGAATTTACTCTCTTCTTGTAGTACTTGCTTTGAAAAAACCCTGCTTCTTAGCTTGACTTTTGATAACCACATTTTTAATTGCACGCAGTTTTCTTGAGGAACTGGACAATCTTCTGATCTTTATATGCATGTTGGCTTAGTTTCCATTACATAAATTTTCTTCTTTTCTTTGAAACCACATGATGCCTAGGTTGTTGTATCCATGAGCTCTCCTCTCAAAATAAATTTAGTGGTAGTGGCTGA